CTGACCGCGTTCCAGCACGGGACAGGCAGACTCCGCTCTTGCCCTTGCCGTGTAACACGCGTTGGGCTTTCTGTGTGCACCTGCTACTCCCGAGGCACCGGCTGCCCCCGGTGTCACAGTCCCCTCCCTGCTGGCGCGCAGGCGTGGACGCGCAGTGGAGGGATTTCTCGCAGGGCTGCAGGCGTGTCCTTCCGCGGGGAGGGCTCCGCCCCTGGCCCGGGCCTCTCCACGGCCACTGGGGACCGAGTTCCCACAGAAGCAGGGCCACCGGGGCCGGCACGTGCTCTCTCTGTACACTCCAGCCCTCGGAGCAGGCCGGAGTCTGGACCTCCGCGTTTCTAACCCCAACTCCACGTCTTGGAGATCAAAGGGTCACGCGTTCTATGGATGGTGCTCCCATCCCCCAGGAAACCTCAGGAGCCCGCAGGCCGGGTTCAGGAGCTGTGTGCTGGCCCCGACGTGGTCTTAGCACCCCTCTCCCTCGGGGGCTTGCAAGGGTCCCGAATCTGAGACCACGCCATGTTTCCTACTGTGCCTATTCTCTGGGCTGAGGGGGTGCTCATGTGTGTCCTTCCAGAACCTTCCAGGTGTCTCCCCTCCCCCCACTGCAGCCCTGGTTCCATGGGCTCGCTGTGGGCCCAGACCTGCCTCAGCATTCCACACGCGCTGGGTCCTCTCTGCCTCTCCAGCCCGTCTGAGGTCAGTGCTGTGCTGACCCCGGCTGCAGGAGACCTTGCCCTGCGGTGCCCTGGCTGCTGCCCTGCAGGCTGACTGTCCCCCGGTGAGGCAGAGCCCTGGCTCCCCTGGGCTGCTTGTTTGCTTTTAAGCCAGGAAGGCGGGGCCTGGGGCGGTGGATCACAGCTTCCGGAGTCCAGGCTGAGTCCTGGCTCCTCTCCCCAGCGCCCCCCACCCATCGTCCTGCCGAGGCACCTGGGAGGCCCTGCACCCACGCGGGAGACCTGCATGGAGCTCCAGCCCTGGCTGCTGTGGCACTGTCACGGGGGGGGGGGTCTGGAGTCTGTGACTGCAGCCCTGATGCTGAGCCACCCGGCACTGCAGGGACGCGGGCAGCCACGGGGCAGCCACGGGGCACCAACTCGCTCTGTGGCTTTCTATTTTGAGGTCTCTCTTCCAGGAGCTGGCACCACTGTTACGCTGACTCCACCAGAATTCTTCTGTCGACGGCCGGTCACTTTAAGTCCGGTCAACACGGCCTTGATTTGGACCCCGAGAAGGCGTGAAGTTAGGGTTAGGGGCCGCGTTGCTCTGCTGTTTGGATCTCAGCTCCTGAGGTTTTCTTTTTGCAGACAATCATTCATCACGTGTACTCGAGAGTTTCTGTGGCTTTTCCGTCCCTCTCTGCATGGCTGTTGTTCCGTTTTTTAATGTTTCCCTTCTTTCTTCCGTGTTCTCCCCGGGTAGCCCACGCTCGGCAGCTGGCTCTGCACTGCAGGACCGTGCTTTGAAGATGCTGTTTCCGGGCTTCCCAGGTCGTCTTTGCCTGGCCTTCCTCGGCCAGCGTGTGCGACTGGGTTTGTTCAGGCTCTGCCTTGCCGAGTTACACACTGCTTGGCGCGTTTACTTCATTTTTTTAAAAAAAGATTTATTTATTTATTTGAAAGTCAAAGTTACACACACACACAGAGAGAGAGAGAGAGAGGGAGGGAGGGAGAGAGAGAGAGAGGGAGGTCTTCCATCTGCTGGTTCACTGCCCATTTGGCCACAACGGCTGGAGCTGCGCCCATCTGAAGCCAGGAGCATCCTCCAGGTCTCCCACGCGGGTGCAGGGGTCAAGCACTTGACCATCCTCCACTGCTTTCCCAGGCCACAGCAGAGGCCGGGACTCGAACCGGCGCCCTATGGGATGCCGGCACTGCAGGCGACGGCTTTTCCCACTGTGCCGCAGCGCCGGCCCCCTCGGTTTACTTCTGAGGCCTCCTGTGGGTCGGGGCTCCTGCTGTGTAGAGAGCTAGACGTTCCCTCTGAGTGCAGCTTGGCCCCGTCTCTAAGTCTGCTTCCTCTGGGGTGTGGAGTCACTGTGAGTCTGTGACTCAGTGACATTGGCCTGAGTTTAGGACATCACATCGAAAGCCCCGCGGGGCGGCATCAGCCATGTGGGGCACACAGGAACGAGAGGGAAGGGCAACGGGCCTGGTGGCTCAGACGCCCGAGTCCCACCCCTGAGCACCAGCTGGAGGTGCAGGCTCCAGCTCTGACCTACGGCTTCCTGCGCACACGCCGGGAGGCCTTGGTGAGGGCTCCAGCCACACGCACGGCCGACCTGAGCTGAGCTCCTGGCTGCCAGCTCCAGCCCCTGTGTGTGTGTGTGCGTGCATATGTGTGTATGCATGTGTGCAAGCATGTGTGTGAGTGTGAATGCATGTGTGTGAGCATGTGTGCATGCACATATGTGTGTGCATGTGTGAGCACGTGTGTGAGAATATGTGTGTGAGTGTGTGCACGTGTGTAAGCATGTGTGTGCACATATGTGTGTGCGTGTGTGTGAGCATATGTGTGTGCGAGCATGTATGCATGTGTGTAAACGTGTGTGTGAGCCCTTCAAAAAATAATGAAAAAGAAAGGCAAGAAAAACATTCCTAAACTAGGCAGTTTCCATACAAATAAAAATAAGGATAAGTCAGCAGAAGGCTTGGTGTGTGCAAGAGAAATAGGGGAATGTTTAATAAACTGAGGTTGTGGAAAAGGTGCTAAAGGAAGCCCAGTGCGGCCGTGGCTCCTGGAAATCCAAGAGGACTGAATCCACCTGAGAGCAGAGAGAGTAGATTTCAAGATTGCAACAATGTTGTGCCTGAAAGATACACACTTAAAAAAGATAGAACAAGTTTAAAATTAGATTGTTGGAAAAAGACAGGCAGATAGCAAACAAAGGAGCCGGGCTGGGACATAACCAAATCCCAAACAGCAGGCGGGGACTCCAGGCCGGACGAGCACAGTGGCCGCAGCATCACCCGGGCGACCCAGACGCCCCAGACCTTCCACCATTGTACCCGCAGCTTCTGTAAAAACAGCGACTCAGCAGCTCAGGCCCACGCAGAGGAGCAGGAACTCCTACCCCGACTCGTGCCACGGATAATCTGGACTGTGGAGCGCGCCTGCACCCGTGCCCACACCAGTGCCTGCGCCCGTGCCCGCACTCGTGCCCACGCCCATGCCTGCGCCAGCTGTTGGTCCTGCAGAGCCTTCAGCCTTCATGGCGCCCGGGCGAGCAGCTGCAGCCTGGCGAGGCTGGGGGCTCCTGCGTCCCACGCCCCTTTGCCCCAATGGGCCCTGCTGCCTGGGTGCTCTCTGGCGTCCGCGTGGCCGGCAGCCGGGACAGCTTCCCTCTGCAGGCAGGGGCTGGGAAGCCCCTGAGCCCACGGCCCGTGTCCACAGCCTCCACATGGCGTCCTGCGCCCAGCTCGAGAGGCCTGCCCGCCGCCACCCGCCGGGCAGTGGACTGCACTGCTGGACAGTGAGCAAGGACAGGAAGGGCCAGGCCCTCAGGAAATGTGCAGATGCAGTGCGCAGGTGCGGTGGCTGCCGGCGTCCTGGTCAGGAGCTGGAGACCTGGCTGTGGGGCCTGCCTGCGGTGCGGGTGCTGGGGCCTGTGATGCAGGTGCAGTGGGTAGGGCCTGTGGTGCGGGTGCCGTGGAGCCTGTGGCTGTGATGGGGGTGCCAGGGCCTGTGGTGCAGGTGCTGGGACCTGTGGTGCGGGTGCCGTGGGGCCTGTGGCTGTGGTGCGGGTGCTGGGGCCTGTGGTGCAGGTGCTGGGACCTGTGGTGCGGGTGCCGTGGGGCCTGTGGCTGTGGTGCGGGTGCTGGGACCTGTGGTGCGGGTGCCGTGGGGCCTGTGGCTGTGATGGGGGTGCCAGGGCCTGTGGTGCAGGTGCTGGGGCCTGTGGTGCAGGTGCCGTGGGGCCTGTGGCTGTGGTGCGGATGCTGCAGAGAGCACGCAGACCCAGGAGGGAAGAAGCAGCGGCGACAGAAGGCAGTGAACCGCAGGGAGGGCGTCGGCGCTACGGCCCGCTCTGGAGACATTTAAAACCGGAGAAAAACGCGCCCGAGAAACCCAGAACAAGAAGACGAAGTCCAGAATAGCAGACACAGAGTGGATATGCGAGTGATTTTTAAATGGAGCCGAAATGGATTAATTCCTGGACAGACGTCAACGGCTGCAGACACAGCGCGGCCGCGCCAGCCGGCGTGATGGCAGCGGGACTCCCGCAGCCAGGGACCCCGCGGAGTCCGCGCTTCGGGCGGGCGCACTGGGGAGAACTCATTTCTGGTTTACGCAGGAGCCGCCCTCGGCCTTGCGGGCTTCGGGCAGGTGGGCGGGGCAGAGCCCCTGGTCCACACCAGTCGCTTCCCCCCACCCCCACCTCGGCCGCGCCTACAGTTGGAGGAGCAGTCAAGCCCCGCAGCCAAGCCTGCACCTGCCTGGGGCCCGGGGCCCCCGCCACGGTGTGTGACGTCGTCACACCCCGCACCGCAGTGCGGGAAGGCGGGGGCTCTGCCGGGGGTGCCCGGCGCCTGCCGGGGCGCGGCTGCGGGGCGGCGTGAAGCCTGCCCCAGGGGGCTGCAGATGGGGTGCGGGGACAGGGGCCTGAGGGACTGACGGGGGACTAGGGCTGAAGTGCTGGGGCCCCGCGTGGAGCGCGACTTCCAACCGCACCCTACGCGGTCTGAATCGTGTCGGTCGCCGCCCCGCAGCCGCCCCCAGCTCTGTCCCCACGATGTGCCAGGGAGCAGGTGGACTTTCACGGTTTCTGTGGAAGGGGACCAGGGTGGGGCGGCCGATCGCGGGGTCCGTGGGGGAGGGATGCGGTCTCCGAGCGCGCGCGCCGTCGCGCTGATGTCACAGCCCGGCCCCAGCCGCCCCCACCCCCACCCCCGCCCCGGCCCCGGCCCCAGCCCCAGCCCCGCGGCGGCCGCGACGCGCGTCCCTCGGCCCGCAGCAAACCAACTGGCAGCTGGGGCTCGGCCGCCGCTCGCAGCCAACCAGCGCGCCGGGCGGGGCGGGGGCGGGCCGGGCCGGGGGCGCGCAGCCCGTCACGCGGCGCCGCCGTCAGAGGCCGAGCGCAGCCGGGGAGCCGCGCAGCTCTGCGCTGGGACCCGCTCCCGAGCCAGTGCCCATGCGGGGCCGCAGCCACTGACGCCAGAGAGGTAAGGTCGCTGCTCCGGGCCCGGGGGCGCGCCCTCTCCGCGCCGGCACCCCGCGTCCTGCACCTGCACCGCGTCCTTGCCGCAGCCCCTTCCCTCCCTCCGGCCTCCAGGTCCCCGCGGAGAACAATGCGGCGCATTCAGAACGTCCGCCCTTCGTGGGCAGTGGGGGGCAGCGCCCTCGGCGAAGGCCCGGGCGCCGCGGCGCCGCAGGCGGAGGGACCCTCGGGGAGGGCGAGTCCCGCGGGCGGGACCCGGACGCATCCTCCCCGGAGAGGAGACACCGGCGGGGCCCGGGCGGGGTGCGCAGGAGAGGCGAGGACGGAGGGGAGGGGCGCGGGCAGCTGCTCTGCTCCCGCGGTGGGGGAGGGCGGATGCTGAAGCCGAGACCGAAACGGACGCGCGGGGGCTGCGGCGCGAAGCCGGGCACGCGCTCGGTGCGCACCGCGGAGGCTGCCATCCACGCCCCCCAGGCCGTGTCCCTTTCCCCGAAGACCCCAGCTCCCTTCCAGTGAGACCCACCCCCTGGGGGCTGCCGCGAGCTGACGCGGCCGGCATCTGCGAAGCCAGCGCCCCAGGAACAGGTGCGGCTGGCGGCGGCGGTGGTGGCGGCGGGGTGGGGGCTGCTGGCTCCCCAAATGCCCGGGCGCGGATGCCGCGAAGGAACACGGGCCGCAGAGACCCCGGCCCCTCCCCCTGTCTGCCGCTGCTTCCCGCACCTCCCAGCAAAGCCCCAGCACCGCCCTCCCGCCGAGAGAGGGGCTGGGGCCGCATCCCCGCCGGGGGAGGGGCGCGGCGCGGGGCGCGGGGTGCGGGCGGGCGGGCGGGGGCCCGGGCGGCCGCGGCCGCGGGCGGAGGGGGAGGGGAGGCCGGAATGCCAAGTCATGGGGCCTGCTGGGCGCGGGCACGGGCGCGGCGTCGCCGGCGCGGACCCGATGCGCGCCCATGTCCCCAGGAAGAGGGGCTTTTCCTAGGAAACCGGGGACCCCTCCCCAAGCGACCGCCCCTGCAGAGGCTGCCTGCATTGCTGGGGTTGAAGGCCTGCGGGGCCCGGGGACTGGGTGGCTGCAGGGCGGCACCGCCGCACCCCAGGGACATGCAGGAGATGGCCACCCTGTGGCCGGGAGTGGCCCCTCTCAGTCTGGGGAAGCTCTGGGGCCTGGGGGTGGGGGTGGGGGCTGCACCTGCGGCGGCCATTTTGCAGGTGTGGTTGGCCAGGATGCTGTCTGGGCAGTGGGGTGGGGTGGTCAGGTGTGGCTCTTGCAGTCTGGGGGGGGGGGTGCCAGGGCCTGCCCAGCTTCAGGCCCACCCTTGCATCCTGCAAACCCCGGAATCAGATGGGCCGCTTCCTTGGAGAAACGGGTGCTGCGGAGGGTTCCAGGGCCCCTCTGGACCTGAGGGATACGGGGAGGCCACTGGCCGAGGCCCAGGTTGGGGGGGCGCCCCAGCCTTTGTTTGCATCATCAGCCCCATCCTCTTCGTGGAGGAGCAGGACAGGTGTGGCCACAGGGCAGGCCGAGTCTGGGGTCAGTGCAACCTGCAGCTCCCAGGAAGGACCTGCAGGAGGCCTGCAGAGAGCCAGCCCCCTCCCCCCCACATATCCGTGCCTCCCCACGCCGGGGCCCAGCCCCAGGTGGCAACTGGGACCCCACACGGGGCAGCCACACGCTCCTCCTGAGAGCCCTACTGCAGAGTGACCTAGTCCCCCACTGCCCACTCTGGTAGGGCCGGGCCCACGTGTGTTAGTGTGCGTGTCTGAGCACCTGCCCAGCTTGGCCAGCAGTGGCCGGTGCGTCCTGAAGGACCGGGTGTGGCTCCAGGCCCACGGCCACAGCTGCTGCGTGGCCGAGCTGACTGCCAGCCCAGCCTGGGTCCCTCCCATCCTTGCCGCCTCTGCCTGCCAGGGGTGGGTCTGAGGAGGGTGGGAGAGGGGCTGGGGGCACAGGCGCCATGGGAGGAGGCGGCCACGAGGCCTCAAAGACCCTGGAGGGGCTGGGGGATCTCTTTGGCCCTCTGGGCTCAGGCCAGCCCAGCCCAGATAGGTGGCCGGGTAGGCCGGGCAGTCCTGGCACAACCAGTCCTTCATGGCCCACCGACCCCTGCCGGGTCCTCAAGCATGAACAGGGTCCCAGGTGGGCGGAGAGCCGGGGTCGGGGAGGACGGGAAGTGCGGGCCTCTGCCACTCTGTAGCCACCATGGCTGCCTCCTGTGGCCGTAGGTGCCTCCTGGCCCCAGCCCATCAAGTGCTCTCAGGCCCGAAGGACAGGGCTGGGCAGTGCACGCTGATGGCCAGCGGGAAGTGCCGGTGTCACCTGCCCCGCACAGTCCGCCCGCCCCAGGAGTATCTGGAGAGCACACACTGTCCCAAGCAGGGGTTCAGCCACACAGTGCTGGGCCCATGTCCTTGTCCCGTCTGCCCACCAGGCTTGTCCCTGAGAGAGGAGGACTTGGAGCCTGGGTCTTGCATCTGGGTCCCTTAGCACTGGGTCTGGGGCAGGGACCGGGAGGGTCCCGGTCCCACCCCCACCCCCACCCCCACCCGGCACAGTGGCTTGCTCTTTAACAACCAGGAGCTGGGCCTTCCGTGCTGCATATGGGGCACTGCCCAGGTGGAGGGCACAGCCAGGCCAGCTGCCAGCCCAGGTGAGCCTCCTGGCCCTCCCCAGCCCCTCCAGCCAGCCCAGCCGTGTTCGTGGAGGGTGATCCCAGTGCGGACCTGGAGGCAGTGCTGTTGGCTCTGAGGGGAGGGGCTGCCCCGGCCCTGGCCTTAAGCTGCTAATCCCAGGCCCTGCCGGCTGCTGTGCCGGGGCTCACCAGGACTCGGGGGCCCCCCCGAGTGCCAGACCCACGCCCGTGCCAGGAGGCTGTGGTGGCTGGGGAGGGGAAGCCCAGGCACAGCCTGCTCCCCACTTCACTCCTGGGGACCCCAGACACACACACACGGCACACGAACATGCACACTCATGAGCATGGACCCAGGTACGCTCCCACACACGTGTGTACTTACACAGTGCACCCTTGTCAGCACACACTCATGCACTAACATGCACACACATGTGCTCATCCTCACACTGACACTGACTCAGTCTCCACTTGCATATGTGCACCCACACTCACTAACACACATGCATGTGCACACGTGTTCGTTCTCACAGACTCAGTCTCCACTAGCCCATGTACATGCACACTAACATACATGCTCACGTGTCCGTTCTCACATTGACAGTCTCCACTAGCCCATGTACACCCGCACACACTCACACACATGCATGTGCACACATGTTCATCCTCACACAGTCTCCACCTGCACGTGTACATTCACACACTTGCTAATGCACATGTGCTCACATGTCCATTGTCACAGACTCAGTCTCCACTAGCCCATGTACACTCACACTCACACTCATGCTCACGTGTCCGTTCTCACATTGACAGTCTCCACTAGCCCATGTACACCCGCACACACTCACACACATGCATGTGCACACATGTTCATCCTCACACCGTCTCCACCTGCACGTGTACACTCACACACTTGCTAACGCACATGTGCTCACATGTCCATTGTCACAGACTGTCTCCACTAGCCCATGTACACTCACACTCACACTCATGTGCTCACGTGTTCATTCTCAGACTCAATTTCTACTTGCACATGTGCATACACACTAACACGTGTTTACATGTGTTCATCCTCACACTGACTCCGTCTCCACTTGCACGAGTACATTTATGCACATATACACTTACATGAATGTGGACACGCAGTCACATGCACACACTCACATGTGCGTTCACTCCCTTGTGAGCACACGCATGTACACACTTGCACACACATGCTCACCGGACACACAGAGGCCCTGGGTCCCTGACTTCCCGTGTCTCCACCCGACCTGGGTCCTCCTCAGGTCTCCAGGCCCCCTCCAGTGCTGCCTCCCCCTGAGGCTGCTGTAAGCCCCACCCCTCAGCGCTTGCCCCACCCACTGCCCAGGTGCTTGTGCCAGTGCCGGTGCCATGGGCTGTGCTCTTGGTGTGGATCCCGGACCTGGCATTCGGAGCCCCGGTGGCGGTCGTGACGCTGAGACACACGTGGTGATGCCGCGGGCTGTGCTGGGCGCTTGCTGCCCCTCATCTCCCCGCCCCTGCTTGGGCGGCCGCTGCCGGTCACACAGCTGGGGCTCGCTCGGTAGACACCGCCCCCCCCAAAGCCAGCGGTTCTCTCAGCCCCTGCCATCCAAGTCCTGGGGTGCAGGGAGCGGCTGCCCCTCAGGATGGGAGTCTGAGGGTCTCTCAGTCTCCCACTCAAGGCCTGAGCCTGGTGGGCGGTGCCCCCCGAGATCTCACCTGGGCTCCTGGGCTGCAGCTGTCGGGATGGGGTGGCCCCTGACACCCTGCAGCCCCTCTCCCCTCAAGCCCAGCCCCTGGCCCTCCCTCAGAGGGAGGTGATGGTGTCTGGGGGCCCCCGGGGGCATTCGGACTCCCACCCCCTTCCCAGCCCTGCAGAGCCTCAGGTAGGCCCCAGTGTGCTTCCCCACCTGCTGTCGGCTCCAGCAGATGGTGGGGCAGGGCTGGACCTCAATGCCCATTGGCCCACAGGGACCCAGCTCCTGAGGGGCTGCTGGCCGGCCTGGTGCTGGGCGGGGGTGCTGCAGCCTCTGGGGTGGGGCTGGGGCTGGGTGGGGGTGGTCCATTCTCTGGACTGGACTGGGCTGGGGCTGGGCGGGGGTGGTCCATTCTCTGGACTGGGCTGGGGCTGGGCGGGGGTGCTGCAGCCTCTGGACTGGGCTGGGGCTGGGCAGGGGTGCTGCAGCCTCTGGACTGGGCTGGGGCTGGGTGGGGGTGGTCCATTCGCTGGACTGGGCTGGGGCTGGGCGGGGGTGGTCCATTCGCTGGACTGGGCTGGGGCTGGGCGGGGGTGGTCCATTCTCTGGACTGGGCTGGGGCTGGGCGGGGGTGGTCCATTCTCTGGACTGGGCTGGGGCTGGGCGGGGGTGGTCCATTCT